ACCTACTTTTAAACGGTTTTTTTATCCAAAAACGTAAAACTTACGTTTTTTTTTAGTAAGGAAAAGACCTTAAAAATTTTAATTTTCTATCGAATTTCCAAATTTGTGAACATTTTAAAAGTTTTCTAAAAACTTTCCGCCTTTGAAATTAGGCCGCATATTACTAAAAATACCAAATAGCCTTCAAGCCTTTAAAAATTTTGTTTAAAACCTTATAAAAATATTCAACTTTTGGCCAAGGAATCTAGATTAACTTCTCAAAGTTTTTTAAAAAAGTTATTTAATTTAAATTAGCGAAATGATACTAGCAATACCAGAATAATTGTTGTTGGATTTAGATACTGTCCTGATAGGGGAAAACTCGGCCTCCCTTAGAAAAGAGCCAAAAGCAACCTCAATGTATGGGCGATGAGAAGGGCAAAATGTGGGTTCATAATGTCTTGAGGCAATGTGCAAATCTTTGTGATAAGTGTTTCAGTTCGCATCGTCCTTGGTACGTCTGTTTTGTCGATAGTCAGCGAGGGGCCGCGGATAGGTGGCGAGCTCAAGTTTTGATCAGGTCCGGATGCGCCGTCAACAATTGCTTCAACCCAGTCGCCGCCTCTTTTCGGGAATTCTAGAAACCTTGTTCTACTCTAGATTTGAGATACGCCTAGTAGAAAAATAACAATTATCTTTTCAGTGTTTTTGATAAAATTTAGCTGTCTTTCAAGGGGAAAAACTATTTAGAAGCGAAAATTGGTCTTTTTGGCCGGAAAACTTTAACTTCGGAGTGTTTACGTTTAGAAATTGTACAAAAACAGCGCAGAAATAGGTGCTTCCAGGTTATCGGGGGTCGGTTATTTTAGCGGGGGTCGGTTAGCATCTTCTTTTTATTTAGCCTATACCTGCCTAGTGATAAATTGTAGTTTATTTTAATACTGTTTTTAGTAGCTTCCGATAATCAAAAATTATAAAAATGTTAATCCGAGAGTAACGAAATGAGGTAAGCGTGGTTTGAGTAATTTTCATTACGTAGACCGAAAAAGAAAATTTTTTTAACATGTTTTATGACGTTTTTCTTAAAGGGATAGGGGCGGCATAATGCAATCGATTACGCGAGGGGTAAGAGAATCGCCTCTGCGGCTCCCCCTGGGCGCGCTCTCTGCCCTGTTGGCTACTTGCCAATTTGTTGATGGGGGGGATCGACACATGCCGTCGGCAGCCCTTTAACGTCTCCTCCCACGCCAACAGCCCAGAACCATTTCAAACGGCGCACAAGTCTATAAAACGGCCAGTTTTAACACTAGCCGAGCCGCACGATATTATAGAAAAAAAGTTCGCAACCGACCCCATAACCTGGAAGCACCTGAATAAGCCCCATTACACAGCCGCTTTATAGCGGCTTTGCTGCTGAAGCGGCTGGACTTCGGGCTACCCTTCTGCTCCTCCCCTCCCTTTGTGATGGTCTTAGATACTTTAAAGGATTTAAATACGGAATTAAGATACTTAAAAGTATTAAACAACTGAAAAAGCCATCTGGGCGCGGAAAGGGCTTGGGGACGGGGCGATGAAGGCGTGGCCTCCAGGAGAGGGCCCCCACCTGCTTGATATTAAGGCGCCACTTTCAAAGTTAATTATTTTTAATAAACGAAAACTTTTTATAATGTTTGATCATTTAAGGGGTTTCTGACCACGCCTATCCGAACTGAAGAGACCTAAGCTCTAGCCCTTTCCCCTTCGAGTTATAGCGCTGGCTTCTGACGGACGGGACAGACACCACTACTGAATTCTTATAGTTGATTTTAAGCTTATTTCGGGGGAATGTACAAAAAATATACCTCCCAAATAATTTTTCCCAAGAACGAGAAAGGGTTGGTTGTTCAATATTGTCTCTCTAAACTAACCCGATCACCATCTCGAGACGTCGACAAAGCTCCATGAAACGGTGAGACCACTTGAAATTCAATTTTTAACTGGAAACTGCCAACTTACCGATGCGAAAAAAGAGCCACCGAAGACCCCTGCGCTTGCCCCGCCAACTGGCTGATCGAGGAAATCTTTCTCGTCGTGAAGGTAGCATCGGTGGCCGCCCGTTTTCTTCCAATACTTTTCCAACCTAAAAACAAGTTTTTTTAATGAATCGGCGTCCAACCTTGATCTTCTTCTTTGCGAAGGCCTGGTTTTCCTGCTTTTTCTTACTTTTCGGCATCTTGGACAAGCTTGACGGATCTCCTAAAAACTCAATTTCTTTGCTTAACTAAACGTAAAAAACAAACTAGTGAAAAAGCAATCCACTTTTGCAAATAAATTCGTGAATTAAAAATTTTAGAAATGAAAGAATATAAGTGATTGAGACTGTACGACGGGGTATGTCCGGAATGCGGAGCGCCGCGGAATTCACGAGCTCAAGGGACTTTCAAAATAAATTTTAGTCAAAACGAATTTCTAGGAATTATTTTTGCTTTATTTTGCTCGTTTTGTAGGTTTTTTTAGCTTTTTGCTTCTAGTGCTATGATATCAGAATCTCCGCGCTTCTTCTGGCTTCACGCTTTCCACGCGGAAACCCTTGAAAAGAGCTACGAAAATAAGTAATCGCATAATTTCTACCCTTTTTACACGAGATTCTCCCTTTTCCTTCCGTGCCATGTAATCTTTATCGTATCTGAGTTCAAAAAAATACCTTTTTTTTAACTGGAACGTTGAAACACACCCTTTTTACCTACTTCATTCCAGATGAAGCGCCTCTTCGGCATCTTTGGAGGCGAAAGCGTCACGCCAGCAATGGCCCAGCACCTTTAGCCGAGAGAATTCGATGATGCAAATATGACAAGCTGACAAGACAAATGGCCTGGTTCGTCCGATTTCACCCCGATTTACTTTGATTCAGCTTCACCGACAGCTGGAAAAGGGACAACTTCCTGGCCCTGACGAATTGCCTCAACAGCAGCATCAATATTCTGCTTCCCCATCAGCTGTTTCCGGTCACGAAGGCCATTTTAATTCCTGCAAACGTTTGTCCTTTTGGTACTTATCAAGTTGGGGGCACTTTGGTTTTCGACTTTGAGTCTTTCTAGGCTAGTTTTTTTGTGCTGGTTCCGAATATAACAAAATCAGAGTAGTAAAACACAATTATTGAACAAGTTTAAGGATTTAGAGATGCTTGCACCTTACTTGAGGCCTAAAAATAAGGCTTGTGCCA